CACTGGTGAGGCTGCACCTCGAGTACTGTGTACAGTTCTGGGCTCCGCAGTACAGGAAGGACATTGAGGTGCTGGAGAAGGTACAGAGAAGAGCAACCAGAACGATTAGGGCACTAGAGGTAAGTCTTATGAAGAGAGGCTTAGGGAGCTGGGGCTGTTTAGACTGGAGAAGAAGAGGCTGAAGGGGGACCTTATCGCTTTCTACAGCTACCTGAAAGGCAGCTGTAGTGAGACGGGTGTTGGCCTCCTCTCCCTAGCGAATAGCGATAGGACAAGAGAGAACGGGTTCAAGTTGTGCCAGGGGAAGTTTAGACTGGATATTAGGAAAAACTTCTTCACTGTGGTGAAGCACTGGAATGGTTTGCCAAAGGAGGTGATGGAGTCACCATGTCTAGATACATTTAAGAAATGGTTGAATGTGGCAATTCAGGAGATTGTTTAGTGTTAGGGTTGTTTAGGGCTCTAGGTTGGACACGATGATCTTAAAGGTCTTTCCAACCTTTATGATTCTGTGATTCCTGCCCTGATGTGTGAGAGGTCAAAGCACAATGGAAAGCTATGCCTGCAAGAATCCCTAATATATACAAGCAAAAGCTGCAGGTTCAAAAGCTTTTTCACTCTCTATCAAACACCAAGCTCCACAGTGCCTGTGTCCCTGCTTCTGTGCCACAACCTGGGTGCTGCTGCAGAGATTCCTCAAGATCTGTGAAGTAATGAGAATAAATTTACTCTGCATTTCATCCATGCTTTTGTGATTGTTCCCACATCCCACTTGAGGTTTAGGTTAGATATCAGGGAAGACTTCCTCACAGAAAGGGTGATCAGGCATTGGAATGCACTGCCCAGGGAAGTGGTAGAGTCACCGTCCCTGGAGATGTTTAAGGAAAGGCTGGATGGGGCACTTAGTGCCATAGTCTAGCAGATGTAGTGTTGAGTCATAGGCTGGACTTGATGATCTCAGAGGTCTTTTCCAGCCTCAACAATTCTGTGAGGCAGCTCACACAGTATCTTTAATAATACTCTCCCTACCTCCATCTGTAAGAAATTACTCATTACTTCAGCAACTTCAGGTGTCCATTCAATGCTATCTATATTTTAAGATTTTATTGGGTTTTTTATACAACCCAAAACTTGGATTCTGGCACATAGTTCAGATTAATATTCTATTCTGATTGCTTTTTTGTTTGCTTTTTCTTACCTGGTAGTTTTTATTACTTTCATATTCTATCAGTCCCCTTAGCCATGAGATGCTTTGCTCCCCTGTCCTCCTCCACAAAGGGATCTCTTCATCATCACCTTCCTTTTTCAGATAAACACTTAATAATCCAGTCCCAGCTCCATACATGTGATAGAAAAATGTCAAGCACTGTTTTCCAGAGGTTCCTCTTAGTGATCTTGAAACTAGGTATGCTCTCTGTCCGTAGACCATATCAGAAGCCTCTGTATACATGTAGTATCCTTAAAAAGATATACAAGGAAATATTAGCAAAGTAGAATGTTCTTTCAGCATGTTCATTGTGCTCGACATGCTCATTATATAGAAGGCAAAAGTTTCCCAGACTAACTTGAATTAAGCCTGCATAGAGCAAGACTTCATATGCGCAGCTGTAATAACTATGCCTAATAATGCTTAATGTGTTTTACACTCAGTCACAGTTGACAGAATAATACTTTTTGGTGAAACTTCTGAGGCAGGCCAACAGCTTCTCTAATCCAGCTAAAATTTTTAATAAACTAGGTAGATGTGCATAAGCCAGCTTGTCTGCAACTGACTTTACAACTTGTTGAATGAATGTTAACCACTGTGTAAGGGGATGAATCCAAAGGCCCCCAAAGCCTTTTTAAACCTTATATAGCTAAGCACTTGGTAAATTCACATGTCTTGGGGCAATCATATTGAAGTCAGAGGAGCTGTTGCTGAGGTCCTCTTCTGCAAGAACACAAGCGCTCAACACAGTGATGCAATTCATAATTTCCAAAAGTCACCATGTACTGTCCCCAGTGTGGGGGCGATTTTAATGTAGTTTTCTGTGCAATTGCTCATGCTAATGAGGGAATCACTTGCCCAGATATTTTAAATTACACATGAGGTTATGGAGCAGATTTTCAAAACAAAATGTTTGTGGGACCTCTTTTAGTATTCATATTTTCTTCTAAGTTTGACCAGGGAGGTGTTGATGCAGAAGAGGTTCCAACCACTTGTTCGTCTTTCAGTTTTAGGGAATATTCACATAAAATAGGAGTTTGAAAGAATGCTTTTCTGCAGGGTCTGGAGAGTCATCTTGTCCTTTTTTCTCGAAAAGAAAAGGGCTGCTTTAGGACATGACTGAATGACTCACTTTATCTGAAGATAATTCAGATTAAACATCACACTCTCAAAACCATCTATGTGATTTTTCCCTAAGAAATATATTTACTTCACTTGATCATTATCTGTTCCAAACAGAACAGTAAAGACTCTTGGTTATAATTTCAAAGTATTTTTTATTAGCTATCAATCTCTGTTCTGAAAATTCAGTTTGGAGCTTAACTCACCTACCCCAGTAGTGTGGTCTCCTTTTGGTCCGGTGTAAGAAGTGGGAGTAGGACCCCTCCTCCTGTGCCAGCTCCCACGACCTCTCTCCTTCTGGGTAAATACACACTCATCTTTTTCAAAGGTACACTCTCCAGGATTGGGCAACAATAGATCTATATAGAGAGAACATTGTTTAAAACTGCAAATATATTAGACAGAAATCGGGAGAGAGAGATTACACACGCAATGTATTGGATTCTCTCACCTGCTGAAATCACATCTACCTAGCATAATTATAGTAGTAACAAGCTTATAAAAGCTAGCTTCAAACTCATGTATGAAAATTAATTTTGTCTTCTTCACTGCTTTGGGGAAATCTGTGCCCAACTCTGGCTCAAGAACATGTACTGATATTCTTTAAAACAGTTCATGCATTTTATTATCTTGCCATAGCTCTTCCTGTGTAATGGGCTCTACCAGTGTAATTTCCTTCACTACTGTGACAGCCCAAGTAGTTTAATGAGCATCAGCATGTATAATATGCATATTAAATAAGTCTTGCCAAAGACTGTAGTTTCTATGATCTGAAATCACATTTAAGATCTCTCTTTAAGATTCTAACACTGCATACAACAGACCACAGAGCTGGAATTACTAGAGTATTTTCAGTATTTCAAGTCTATTAGATAATGCAAAAGAGGGAAAGCTGACAATTCAGGTTTTCAACAGGAAGCTTCTGTCAGCTACTCTGCTATAATCTGAATTTGCAGTTCAGTAGACACTCTGAGCTGCTTTCACTTTTTGGTAGGGAGGAAGCCTTGGTGCCTCACATACTCTGGAGCATTTTTCAGATTTTTTGCTGGCCTAAGTGACAAGTCCCCACATGATTATACAGCCAACTATCAGTTCTGCACCTCAGTTCCTTTTCAAATTACTTAGAAAGGCAGACAACCATTGGAAATACTTTAGAAAAATATCATCTTGTTTTATACATGTTACACATGTGACCTCTCTGTTCTGTAAAGGTTAGCCTCCTGAATGCATGAAATCCAGTCAAAAGAGGTAATTTAAAAGCTTTTATTACATGGGAATATAAATGGCCTGTGCATGTCAGAGGGTAAAGTCTCACTCAAACACTCAAAGTGAGAGTTAGACCCATCTTACTGTCTTCATTGAAGAAGTGCAGCTCAGGTAAGGGACTGTGTCTTGGCCTTGCACAACTGTACTTCTGGATTAAAAACAATGATGCTGTGTTTTGAAAATACTACTTTTGGGTCCATTCCTGGTTTCCTGAAAGTCATTTGAAAACTACTTTCCCCTCAACTGAACAATTGTGGTTTTTAACAGTGTAATGCCCCAAAAGGAATGCTTACATATATAAAACTGCAGTGGGGTCAGTAAAGTGAATTAAGAGTTAGCAAGTACAAGCAGCTAACTCCTAATGAACTTCCCAAACAGCTAGTGAACAAAAAACTATTCCACACTGTATGTATGCTACTGCAAAAATAGGATTTATGCGATACTTATTGGAAAAAGAAAAGAAACCATAGTGGGATGAAGACAGCTGTAATAAAGGCTTAGAAAATGAAGTTATGCAATGAACTCTTACTAAAAAGGGTAGCAGCTGTTGGATGACAAATACACATGGTCTTACCAGCAGCCTGGCAGCTTCCCAGGCTCAGTGATACATCATCCAGTGCCACAAGTCCACAGTCCCAGAAGCTTTTACACCAGCTAACAAAGACAACCTGCAATACATGAAGGAAGTTTCAGGTACTAACAAAAACTAGCACTGTTAAGAGTCTTAGATTTTTCCAAATGCACTAATTATTTTGACATCCATAGAACAGAAATCATGAATCCACTTTGTATTGGCACACATTAATACTGCCAATGGCTGAAATTTCAAATCCAGTGCAGTTCAGATGTATGTTTTCATTCAATAGAAAGTGTTTTCTCATTTTTACAGGCAAATGATGTATCTCTGTATGTATGTAGTTTCCATTTTATTAGGAGAGTGTTTATTTTTTAATGCATGAGAAAACATGATTCCCTGAGGCTGTTGCAGTTTTCTCCCACCCCAAACCCAACATGAACAGCTCAAATGTCCTCACCTATCTTATCCTCACGACCAGCAGGTTTTATCCATGGAAAAATAAATTTGAAGGAGTGTCAGGGACTAAACAAATAAACAGTCTGGGTTTTCCCTGAACCCAAACAAGACAGAGCCACCTGCGCCTGGCACCTGTTCGTGTTGGTGCGGGAGTGACTCAGCACTTTGCTGAGCCCCCTGCCCCAGCCCTGAACTGGTGGAGCTGTGAGTGCCGTTTAGGGCTTGGAGCTGTGGCTGCAGGAAGCCAGGAGAGAGAGGGGTAACCCCTGCCTCAGAAGCCCCCACCATCCCACAGCCTGGTTCCCGGTAAAGAGTAATACAGAGTGGTGGCCATGACAAAAAAACAAAGAACAATATAGATGAGATGAAACTACTTCATAAAATAGGATTATTCAGAAATGACACAAGGCCATGGTATCATAGAGCAGGTGGCTGGAAATGCTAAGCATAATTCACAGGATTCATCTGGATTGGTGAAGATTGAGAATATTGTCCAAGATGTTTTATTTGACTACATGTTAGTTCTGCCATGGAAAATACAAGTCACTCACAAGGTGACAAAATAAAATGTAAAGAAACTATAAGACTCCTAGCTGCCCTTCTCCCAAGGTTGATATAGATCTGTTTGAATTACAGAAGACACAGTAAAGTTTATTTTGCAAAAATACTGCTAGCAGGTTTTTTTGCCTAACTGCTGCAAACTGCGTGACTGCCCATTGGAGTTAAGACCATAATTTGCAAGTAGCTTTTCAAAACAGTTCCTTTGTGATGAGGTCTGAGCTAGTGACTGGAGGCTAGTTACACTGGAGTCACTTCTAAGAGTTTGATATTCTGAAACAACTGTAAAGAACTAGGGTACATATTTGAGGTTAAATGCTGACTGACAGTTTCATGTGGATACAAAGAAGTTGCATGCATTATTTAATCCTCTTTTAACAGGCTCAGTGACATCTTCTATATGGTAAATCTAGATTTTCTAGATTGCTTTGCTATGTAGTATTTGTTTACCCATCTACTTATAAAACAGCCCAGCCGTAACTACACTTTAACCTTTGAAACACGTATGGGTCATGCTGACTAGAATGGATCCATTTTCAAAATCATTTTCCATTCAGTGTTACCAATTCTATTAACAGTGATTATCTGTCTTGCAAACTGCTACAGGTGTGGAGTTGAGGCGTGACTCTGCACACCATGCACAACTGCTTAGTGGATAGTAACCTAGAAATGGCCTTTTTTTCTTTTTCTTTTTCCCTCCCCTGTAGCCTCTCTTAGCCTTAAGGTTTAACAGGACAAAAATTGTTTCCTATTTTGAAAATGCTTTTTCAAGAAACAGTCACAATCTATTAAGAAATGGTAGCATCTCTTGGAATAAAGATAAAATAAATATTGACATTGGTGGACATCAGTCACCAGATATTTAATAAATGCATTCTGGTGAACATTCCTAACAAACTAAAGACATATTATAGTCCTGAACCCAAGAATCTTCAGAAAACCAACCATGAAAGGGCGAGCTCGGTCCTCATTTGTGAAACCACATTTCCTTGTAGTAGAATCATGTTTTAAGTGATGCTTTCCTATTGACATAATTGGGAGCAGAAGAAAGTTCTTTATTCTTAAATTGTAATAATTTGTTCCATACAAGGAATGAAGTTACCCATTGGATCCTGCAGAAAGCCCTCCAATTCAAAAGCATCGTGACAATACATGGCTCCATGGCTGGTGTCACCACCACAGCTTTGGGTTCTTTGACAATGGGATGGCCTACACAGCACCTGACTTGCTAGCATCAAATGAGAGTCACCTTTCCCAAAGAGTGTCTTTGCCCAAGAGATTTCACGGCTGATTGACAGGGCTTTAAACTATTTGTGAAGGGGAGGAGGATAACAATATCAGGCTTGCCTGTGAAAAGTTGTGGGAGGACACAACAGGGTTAAAGGGACAGGGTGCTACTAAAGGCCTTTAACCAGTTACTCTGTGGTGAGCTTGTGGTGTGGCAGCACTGTTAAAGTCTTACAAAGATGAACTAGGGGCTCCTGAGGTAGTAGGAGCAAACAGGGAAACATCCATAGAACACCTCAAGAGAATTAAGGTGTGTTCCACCAAGAAAGTGACATGGCCAACAGCCCTGCTGAAGTGCCTCTGCACGACTGCACGCAGCATGGGCAACAAACAGGAGGAGTTAGAAATCTGTGTGAAATCAAGAGATTATGATCTGGTGGCAATCACAGAGACATGGTGGTACAGCTCACATGACTGGAAGTGGTCATGGATGGCTACGTCCTTTTTAGGAAAGACAAGCCAACAAGGTGAGGTGGTGGAGTTGCTCTTTACCTGAGAGAGCAACTGGAATGTATTGAGATCCATGCAGGGGCAGACGAGGAGTGAGTCAAGACTTTGTGGATGAGATTTAAGGGGCAGGCTAGCAGGGGTAATACTATGGTAAGTGTCTATTAGAGGTCACCTGATCAGGATGAGGAAGTTGATGAAACCTTCTACAGGCAGCTGACAGCAGCCTCGCAGTCACAGGCCCTGGTTCTCATGGAGGATTTTAACTACTCAGGTACTTGCTGGAAGGCCTACAGAGCCATCCATCCACAGTCCAGGAGGTTCCTCCAGTGCATTGATGATAATTTCTTGATGCAAATAGTGGATGATCCCACTGGGAGAGGAGCACTGCTGGTTCTTATACTCACTAACAAGGAGGGTCTGGTTGAAGCAGTGAAGGTTGAGGACAGCCTTGGCTGCAGTGACCACAAGATGGTGGAGTTCAGGATCTTGTGTGATAGGAACAAAATGCCAAGCAGGATCACGACGCTGGAATTCAGCAGGGTCAACTTCGGCTTTTTCAAGCAATTGCTAGGGGAAACCCCATAGGACAGGGTATTAGAAGGTAAAGGGGCCTAAGATAGCTGGTTAATATTCAAGGACCACTTCTTCCAAGCTCAAGATCAGTGCATACCAATGGGTAGGAAACCAAGAAGGGGAGCTGGGAGACTCACATGGTTAAACAGGGAACTGCTGGGCAAACTCAGGCAGAAGGAGAGACTCTATGGAAGGAGAGGCTGGCCATTTGGAAGGAATATAAGACTGTGGTCAGAGGATGTAGGGAAGCAACTAGGAAAGCTAAGGCCTCCTTAGAATTAAACCTTGTGAGGGAGGTCAAGTACAACAGACAGCACCTGCACCTGGTGCAGCACCTGGCCTGCTGAGACCAGACTGGGTTGAGCTAACTATGAGGGAGAAAAGGCTCCTGGGTCTAGAGTTGATGGAG